CATTTAAAATCAAGAACCCCAAGACTCTTACAACCTGATTTCCTTTCAATTAAGTTTTGAAAGAAATTCCAAGGCACTCAAGTGGAAAGGAATAGAGGTCAAGTTCACAGGAGCAAACTGTAATGACCTGGGGAGGAGCCGTGGCCAAGTGTCATACATTACCTACTTATACCTGGAGCCTGGAAGGAAAGCCTCAGGAAGCTTTCTGGAACCAAATATAATCCAGGGCATGATATATTTTAATGCTCTTGAAAGCAGGACATACCAAGGAAAAGCAATCCCTGGCCTAATCTACCTTATTCTAAACTGTGCTTTCCTTATAGAGACTGTTGCAGGCAGATCCGTGTATTAATGAAAAAAGGTACTGGGGAACTTTCTCCCCTTATCACGTAATAGTAGCCCTTAAGTGACAGATTCCTGCCTCCAAAATGAGTTTTATTTCCAGCTAATTAAATGCAGTGAAAAACACTTAGCTTGAGTCAAGTTATTTAGTCTATACCTAGCACCCAAACCAAACGTTTAGGATAAAAAGTCTATACAAGGGCTCCTTAAAATTAACCGCAACACTTTTACTAAAGGAGGAAGTTCAAGTTCACCTTCACGTAAAGGCAAACTTCCTGAAACAAATATTTTTTACTTAACTCCATATATCCCTTTCCTTTCTTTGGTGTTTGAGGCATTTCCTTGATGTGACTCAGTAGTGGACTGAATTCTGTCTCAAGTGACCCACAAGATTGTATACCTCTTTCCTTAGTACCTGTATTTTGAAAAGCTGGTACAATTTTCCCAAAAGCTTATAATGCCTAGTAATAATGTAAAATTATTCTCCCTTTCCCCCTAACAGCAAAGGATCTCAGAATAGTGCTCTGGTCAAACTACAAGGATCAGGTCTCCGATGTTCTCTGGATGGATCTGGTTTCCCTAGAAGACTGTTTCCCATGTCCCATGTTTAGGAAGATCTTCTTTTAATAATCTCCTGCTCACTAGAGATCAGGAATCTGAGTGGGTAGAATGTTCAGCTCCCACAGGAGGTATGCTGTAGACATGGCAAACTGCTTGAAAGATAAAAAACTTGTGGTCAATAGTCACGTGGAAGAGGCCCTCCCATCCACTCCAGAAATTGAATTTGAGAACCCATACCCAGTAGAAAATTTCATCACCACAGGACAGTCGTACGAAATGGGCTGCGAATTCTGCCTAGGATCTCCAAGCTTCAGGAAAGGACTTTGAGAAAAATGAAAAGTATAGAGGCTGATAAAGATTTGACTTTGAAAAGGTTGGAAGAAAGGGACAGGACCCCCAAACCCCCCTCAGATAGGGCATGGCTTCCAAACATGCACCAGCTGCTACAGTACTGCACAAGTTGAAAAATGAAGAGCACATTATTTTTCCCTTAACGTATTTAAGGAGTTCTTTTTTTAGAAGATAAGGAAAAAAAGGAATTCAAAACGGTGTCCCTTTGGATAAAAGAAATGAAGGTTGTGAAATGTTATACCAGAAAGGTTTTGCTTACCAGAAACCGTAGCTTGATTCCCCCTGCCTTGAGTTTACAACTGCCGCCTCCTTTCCTAAAGATTCACTTCTCATCCCAGTACCAATGTACAGGAGCTAAGCAACTGGAGAACGTGATACAGCACTGAACACAAAGCGTTTATCCCCAGCCCAGAGGTGGGAATCAGGGTGACTTAGAAGAAAAACACTAAAATATTCACCCTGGTCCAGATTCTCATTATACAAAGTGAACAAACGCAGGAAGCCCCGGGGGCTGGATCCTGAGAACTGACACATTTTGGTGTCCTTAGACCCCCCATTATCTACTATCCTTCCACACAAGTTCTAGGGTCTGCCCAGTTATCACCCAACACACATATACATATAACACTCACACACACACACACACACACGCCCCATCCCAAAGCCTCCCGATCTTAAATAGTTGATTTAACTGACTTCCCCGCCCGGGCAACTGAAGAAGGGGAAAATTTCCAAGCAGTTGTGATGAGAGGTGACACGAAAGCAATGTCCTAACTAAAATATAAAAAGTACCGAAGTACCGCTGCCCAAGGAGAGAGCTTCAAGACCTACTTCCTGTGAGTTTTTTTTTTTTAAAGGCCTAGAAAAGATAATCTTCTAAAGAAAACAAGGCAAATGTTTTTTCCTGTCTACAAGCAGCGTGCACAGCGATTCCAGGAGGCATCTGCTCAGGGGCGGAGTTTCAAGAGGGCGGAGAGAAGTCAGCAAGCCGATTACATCACCTTCCCAGGCTGCTCCTCCCCCTGGACCAAGTTTCTAGGGCGGCCCTAAGCACTGCATGGCAGAAAGGAAAAAAAAAAAACAACAAAGAAGCAGGGACGCCATTTTGTAATGGAGAAGAGGAAAACTTGAAAAAAGCTATCCCGGCTCCGCTGTAGAGAGTTGCATTAAATAACTTTTTTTTAAAGGAAAATCAAAAAATAGACCCACCCTCCCGGAAAAGCTTTTCATCTTATGAGCCCATTAAGAACGTTGTGAAAATAAAAAGCAATTAAAATATTAGAAAACAATTTTCTGCTGGGAAGAATTGAATTTGCAATTGAGGTTCAATACGCTACCATCGACCACCCCGCCCTCCCCCCATCCTACCGCTAAATGGAAAGGGGGAGGATTTGGACCCCTCTCGACAAATAGGGTTGAGGAGGGAGGACAGGAGAAAAATGGGTCAAGACACAACCTGCAACGCCGCTTGGGAAGACAAAAGGACAAAGAAAGTCGCCATATTGTAGCAGGGAAGAAAAAAATTCCTTTTAACGACACAAATCTTTTAGAAAGCTAACATTTCAATTGCACTAAATGGCTTTAAAAAATTATACTCCTGGACTTCACATTTCACCACCTTTCCACCCTCGACTAAACTGGCTTCCCCCACCCAGAAAGTATAAAGTTAAAATGTTAAAAGTTTGCTTATAAATAAGCTACGCAACCTGCAACAATTACAAGACATTCACCTCCCGACTATTTTGTATGTACTATTGGCACTAAGATTATAGTTTGTCCTAACGTGTCTTGCAATCTTTATTCCTAGATTGCCACCTATTTTAACCGCACAAATATATCCCAAGCAAATACATTAAAATTGAGAGGATTTAACAATCATTTAAAGTCATAGCCAACTATTTTTTTTTGCCCATCTCCTTACCCTGCAATCTTTATGTACAGATTGCTTATTAATCTGGCAAATTGAAAGGCGCCCTGCTTGTCTCACACACAAAGAAGTGGGACTTTTGGGCCACAAGATCCACCATCTTTTGTATGTGAGCTCATTAACCCTTTTGAAGACTGCAGCTAACGAGAGGAAGTGAACCATTCCTCTTTATATAAAGCAAACACTTATGGCTTTGGCAGTCTGGAAATTGGCTGGATTACCAAGGGTTAACCGTCAAAATCCTCACTTGCAGCCCATCCCGCCACCCTCTCCTTGCCTGCAGCGGGGCAGGGAAGAGGCAGGTGGCAGGGGAAAGGAACAAGACTGTTTAAACCAAAGGCCCTTTTTAATGGAGATTAAGTGACCGGCTTGGTCCTTTCTCCAGTTCTATGGTCTCATTCTTCCTCTCATAGTTTTGGTTTCACAACGGGAAACGTTGATTTCTTGTTGCAAGGCTGGTTTTTGAAAATTCGACACTTACTATCCAATTTTTTTGCGACGTCAGCACCTCGGGCTCAGGGGGGGGTAAGGGGGTTAAAATTTTGGAGAAAAAAAATCAAACAACCAACCAGGACCCAAAACTCAATTATTTGGGGGGCCTCATTGGATCAAAAAGTCTCTTAAAAAAATCAAGGCCAATTCAGTATTCATATTCCCCCCCCACCCAACTCCGTTTAGGGAGGGGGGATCGCAGAAAAAAAGTTGAGTGGATTCAAAAAAGTAAACGCTGGATGAGTGGGTTTGGGTGGGGTTTGGGAAGGGAGGTGGTTGATTATTTTTGCAGTTATGTGGTGACGGTCCTTCGGCCAGAGATTTCAAGTCCCAAGCAGCGTGGGCTGGTGGGGTGGGCAAGACAGGTAGAGGAAGGGATAGAAGACACAAGTGGTTGGGCTGGTGGCTGCTGTTTTCCCTTTCCCCCCTCTCTGGATCCTTTCAAGGGCTTAGATGACGCTGCGGCTCGTTTCTTTTTCCTTGTGGCCGGCCTGTCTTTCTCCGAGAAAATTCAAACCTGGGATGGAAGGAACACAAAGGAGAAAGATACAATCAGTACGGGTTGTTTTTAAACGCCCCAAATGCCATCTCTGCTGGCCCCAAATACCACCACGCCCCGTCCCAAACGCTGCCGCTTTACGTACACCGTGGCTCTTAGCTGAACGCGCGTCTAAACCCTCTCCCCAGTATAAAACGATCAGCAAAAACCTGCCCCCTAACCGACAAAACACCGAAACTTACCTTTAAACGAACCCCAGAATGGCGGACGCCTGCTCGGGCGGTGTCTTTTATATGCAGACGCCGCCCAACGCGCCCAAACGTGCTAGTGAAACGCCCTCGTCGCGCGACATTGTGCGCGAGGCGTGAATTCATTGGTCAACCCGAAAGACAACTCGCCCACTGATTGGCTATCCTTGCTCCACCTTGGCTTAGCCCCTTCCCCATGCACCTTCTTCCGCCTTCTTCCTGCTACCCCCACCCGCGTGCGCGTGACCTGATCGCCTAGCACCGCCCTTTTCTTTTCTTGCACCACTTCCGCCCTCGAGAACATTGCTCACCCTTGGTTGGTAGAACTGGGCCGGCGCATGCGCACTGGGAAGACCGCGATTAAAACCGCCTTTGGAATTGCTTAAAAGATAAATTCTACGTATGCGATCTAAAAGTTGTAGTGGCTGGCTCCGCAGAAATGCAATTTTGAGGCCGAATTCGATTGTGACGCAGTTAAAATTAATTTCGGTCCTTAGCCCCGCCCCCTTCACGCTTCCGTCCTGACGCAACTGCGCCACCGCCTTCCGCACTGCGGGCTTGTCCCCGGCCCTACCCGAGCCAGTGTCCCGGAGCATGCGTAGTCGCGTTGCCGACCGAACCTCTTTGCGCGTGCGTCAAGATGGCGGCCCCCATATTGAGTACGCTGCTGAGGCGCCTTTCTATCGTTTCGCCCTTCAGAGGTACCTTCGGAGTTCAGGTAACTCCTGGGAGCACAGTTTTGCACAGCCCTATCTCTGTTACACCTTCTTTAGGTTGACGCTCCACTGCTGGAATCCAGGAACTTTGCAAACACCGATTCCTCCTTCTGCTAGACTACTTTGGGCATTACCCTGTCCCTTCTTACCCTCCTTACTGCTGTGTTCAGTTTCTAATGCCGCGCAGTTACAGGGTCAGGTGTCACCTTCCCATGTTATTATCACAGCTAAAATAAATCGGTAAAAGAATGAACCCTTTGATCACGCACATTTAGCTGTGCTGGAGGTTTCTTAACCGATGAGGCTTTGAGTGTCTTTGGGTGCCTGTACCAGTCCGGCTCTCTCCCAAGAAAACCCAGGATACGTTCTCACAACCTGGGGCCAGTTTTCTCAGCTCTCTTACTCTCACGAAGTCGCTTTTATAAGAGCTTGCCTAAGAGTTTAAGGCATTTGGATTGAGGTTTCACACCAGCCTCACGTACTCACCTCTCTCGGAAGTTCTTGGTAGGACAGGGCAGTTTCTTGGTGTGGGTCACGGTGAGTTGAAAGGCTTGCTCAGCTGCCACTCCCTAAACTGGGACTAAGGCGTGGTGCCAGGGGTCACTATCTAGTTAATAACAGACCTGGTAGCTTTAAAGCTAGCGTTAGGACTTGTTTGTTCTGCCCTGTGGAATGTTGACCTTCAACTCTGTAAAAACTAAGCAACTCAGCGCTGGGGTATGGATTGTCTTCTCATCTGCCCTATGGGTCCCAGCTCTGCTCATCCTCTTCCTCTTGTTTTTTGATTGGTTGCTTGGTTTTCTGAGTCACCCCTGGCGGTGCACAGAGCTTATTTCCTGGCTTTGTGCTCAGGGATCACTCTGGGCTGTGCTTCGAGGACCATGTGGGTGCCGTGGATTGAATCCCTGTTGGCAGTGTAAAGGCGAGCACCCTACCCGCAGTACTATTACTCTGGCCCATCCTTTGTTTTCCTTCCTCGAATCAGTTCCTATCCTAAAGGTTTTTACGTTATCTTTTTTATAAAGCTGCCATCCTGTCCCCTATCTTAGTTGTTCCCTGACATTACCTTCTCTTTCAGAATGCAGCTGGAGATAGGGAGAGTGACAGGTGTCAGTTTAACTCAGAAATACTACCATCCCCTAGATATTTCTGCCACGTTCCATAAACTGATGGCTGTGCATTCCCCTTCTCTCCATAATGTGAGTAGCAGAATGACCTGTTCTTTTCCTGATCTTCACTCTTTATCTTATAGGTTACCCACAAAAATCTCTGTACCAAAGCGCCCCCTGAGGAAGATACGCCTCAGGTTCCCATTTCCCCTTATCAAGATGAACCTTGGAAATACCTGGATTCAGAAGGTACCTATTCATGGGAACAGGGAGGTCCATTAGTGGAGTCTCAGATAAATGGACATAGATGCCACCGCCTCCATCTCCATTCAGGAATAATTTCCGTGATCTTTCCCTTCAGAATACCAGAGCCGCTATGGCTCTAATCCAGTCTGGGCAGACTACCGACGCAACCACAAAGGCGGGCTACCTCAACAGAGGACCAGAAAGATGTGTATTGTGAGTTTCTGAGGATGACACATAGATGGGGTATGGAGTGGGGTTTGAGACCATAGTGTCAAGTGGCAGCCTTTATTTTCCAACAGCTTTGAGCATACTCACCTGCCAGCTTCTTTTTACAGAGAAGGAATAAGATTGCTGGGAACCCCTGCCCCATCTGCCGGGATCATAAGCTGCATGTGGACTTTAGGGTAAGGCCAATGTCAGATTACTTTTGATGCCCCTATGCTTACTCATATCTTAGTGTCCTGTGCTCCATTTTGTATTGATTTGGCAATAGAACAGAATTCCTCCTACTGGTCTTTAGACTTCTGTTTTCAATTATATGAAGATGTTTTGTTTTATTTTAAATTTTGTTGTTTGTGGGATTTTATGGGGGGGGGGCACTCCCAGTAGTGCTTAGAACTCCTGACTGTACTCAGGGATCACTCCTCATGGTGCTTATGGGATTGTAATCGATGCCAAAATTTGAATTCAGGTTGGTTCTGTGCAAGGCAAACACCCTACTGCTGTACAATTTACAATTGCCCCAGTCCTCTGAAGATGTTGTATACTTTACCTGGAAAGTTACAAAGTGGTTCCCCACCCCCTCCATACCTAGCTGTGTTCAGGGTTTGCTCTTGCCTCTCTGAGAAATCACTCTTGGCTGTGCTCTGGGAGTTATATGTGGTGCTCGCAATTGAACCCAGGAGCTCTGTTTGCCATGCAAATAACTGAACCAGTGTACTATCTTGTCCAGCCCTGAAAGTTACAATTTAAATTGGTAGATGTGGAAAATACATATTTCTAATGGGAGAAAACCACACAGAGTTTCATTTATATCCATCATAATTATTAGGAAATAGGATTGGGGGCTAGCGATGTAATACAAAGGGTAGGGTGTTTGCCTTCCTCCTGGCTGACTGGCGTTTGAACCCCAGCATCCTATATGGTCCCTTGACCCCCCTCTAGGAATAATTCCTGAGTACAGAGCCAGGAGTAACCACTGAGCACTACTGGGTGTGTTTCAAACCACCCATCCACCTACCCCTCAAAGAAAATGTGGGGCAGATTTTTTTTCTGACTCTAATTTGTTGTTATACTAACGTTACATTCTTTGGTGGCAGTCTATGGTTTGGGATTTAGGACAAATGCATAATTAGGATACAAAGTTTCAGGGGCTGGGAATTAGTTTAGTGGTAGAGCACTTGCTTTGCATATGTGAGACCCTAGATTCAATCCCAAACTGAAAAGAAGGTAGAATTTAATAATATTTTCAGAGTCTTTCTTGTTATAAGGATAGGACTTGCTTGTTAAATAATTTTAAAACTAGGGGCTGGAGCAATAGCACAGCGGGTAGGGCATTTGCCTTGCATGCAGCCAACCCAGGTTTGATTCCCAGCATCCCATATGGTCCCCTGAATACTGCCAGGGATAATTCCTGAGTGCAGAGCCAGGAGTAAGCCCTGTGCATCACCAGGTGTGAGCCAAAAAGCCAAAAACAATAATAATAATAATTTTAAAACTTTTTTAGTTTAGCTATAGCTGAGTGGAATGAAGTGCATATAGATTTTAAGAGGCCCAGGTTTGACCCAGCACCACTTAGTTTCCCTAAGTGCCCTCTGAGCACTGCTGTGTGTGGCCTAAAAGCCAAAAGTTTTTAAACGGTACTGGAAAAGTGCTTTTCTGAACTTGCTTAACGGTATTATTTTTACTATTATGTTTTGTTTTAAGGCCACACCTGGCTGTGCTCAGGATTTACGTACTATTGCTCCAGCTGTTGAAGATAATTATCTTAGAGCAAAAGCTGAATGGCTGGCTGGTGGGCATCAGAGAAGTCGGAGGGCATTTTGGTATTGTTGAATGGGATGTCTCATTGCTCCAGGGCCCCCTTGAACATTAGTTTTAAAGGAATTAACTGGAGAGATAGTACCGAGGGTATGGCACCTTGCAGGTGGCTAATCTGGGTTTAATCCCTAGCACCCCATATAGTTCCCAAGCCCATACAGAAATAATCCCTGAACTGCAGAGCCAAGAATAAGCCCCGAACAATACCAGGTGTGACCCAAAAAGAACAACAACAAAACAATACATAATTTTTAATTACAACTACTTTCTGTTGGGGAGAGAGAGAGAGGAGCTCCTGAAGACCACTAGTTGTCTATATGTTGAAACAAAAAAATTATAACCCAGTTTATGCAGTTAGTAATTAATATATAACCAAAGGAGAGGGAGAGATTATCTGTAATTACTCATTTTCACAGATTGAATAATGCAGATGATTCTGCCTGCAACTTCATATTGCAGTGTGCCTATATTTTTCCTTGGGAGTCTTACTTCCTGTGATTAACCTCCTGGCTGAGTAATTCTACATAATATGCTTTAAAGTTGATTTTATAGGGCTGGAGAGAGTCATAATCAGCTGAGTGCATACTTTGCATGCAGGAAGCCCAGGGTTTTTTTTTTTTTTTTTTGCTTTTGCGGGTCATACCCAGAGGATGCAAAGGGGTTACTCCTGGCTCTGCACTCAGGAATCACACCTGGTGGTGTTCGGGGGACCATGTGGGATGCTTGGAATCGAACCCGGGTCGACCACGTACAAGGCAAAGACCCTATCCGCTGTGCTATTGCTCCAGCCCCGAAGCCCAGGTTTGATACCTGGAACCACATGATGCCCTGAGCACTGTTGAGTGTGGTCCAAAAACTCCTAAATTTTTTTTAATTGGGAATGAGTCGGCTTGCCTTGTACACAGCTGACTTGGATTCAATCCCTAGCACCACCTGTTGTCCCAGTATCATAATCCTTGAGCACAGCCGGATGTGACCCAAACAAACAAAATGTCCTCCCGTTGTTCATCGATTTGCTCGAGCGGACCCAGTAACGTCTCCATTTTAAGACTTGTTCTTACTGTGTTTGGCATATTGAATACGTCACGGGTAGCTTGCCAGGCTTTGCCGTGCAGGCGAGATACTCTTGGTAGCTTTCCGGGCTCTCCAAGAGGGGTGGAGGAATCGAACCCAGCTCTGCCAGACTGGCTGCGTGCAAGGCAAACGCCCTACCGCTCTGCTATCGCTCCAGCCCCATATACTATCATGATATTTATTAAAATTTATATTTAGTTTGAATGTAACTTGTTAAATAATCTTGTTAAAATTTATTTTGAATGTAATTTATTAAATAATCCGTTAAAATTTATTTACATGTATACATTATAATTTGACTGGAGTGATAACACAGTGGGTAGGGCATTTGCCTTGCATGCGGCCGACCTGGGTTCGATTCCTTCATCCTCTTCTCGGAGAGCCTGGCAAGGTACTGAGAGTATCCCGCCGCATGGCAGAGCCTGATAAGCTCCCCTTGGCCTATTCAATATACCAAAAATTGTAACAAGTCTCACAATGGAGATGTTACTGGTGCCAGATGGAGCAAATTGATGAACAACAGGAGGCCAGTTCAGTGCTACTTTATAATATACATTGTATCTTATGGATGGTTTCAGGTATTGCCAGCTGATTGTTCCCAAGTTTTGTTTGTTTTTGTTTCTCTTTTGGGTCACACCCAGCAATGATTAGAGGTTATTTCTGCAAGGAATCACTTCTGGTGGTGCCTGGGGTACTGTCTAAGATGCTGGGATTGAACTTGACTTTGCTGTGGTGCAAGACAATCACCTTACCCACCGTATATCGCCCAGCCAACTTTTTTGCGTGACAGCCTCACTTTAAGACCTGACTTACAGTGTTTCACTAATAAAAATTAAAAAAAAAAACCAACAACCCTGACTTACACAATTGACAGTTATGTGTGAGTCCCCTTGAACAAATTGTAGGATGTGCATGTGAAATGGTTAAAAGACTGGGAAGTTGAAAGAGTTTCCTGAAGTTTGTTTGGTTTTTGTTTGGAGGCCACACCCAGGGATGCTCAGGCCATTGTGCTTAGGTTCCGTCCTAGGGACACCGTGAGATTGCTGAGTCCTCTGAAATGCAGAGTATATGCTCAGCTCTTGGTCTTGACCTGAGTGATGGTACAGCAGGTAAAGTGCTTGCCTTGCACACAACCACCCAGGTTCAGTTCCCAGCACCACTGCTTATAGTCCCCGACCCCTCCAGAAGTCATCCCAAAAAACCAACAGGTGAGGCCTAAAGCAAAAAAACAAATACGTAAAAAATCTTATGGCTCTCAACTGTCTCTGCAGAATGTGAAGCTCTTGGAACAGTTTGTCTGCGCTCACACTGGCATCATCTTCCATGCTCCTTACACAGGTTAGCCCGTCATCCCTTTCACCACCTGAATGGCATTCCTTTGGGGCGCTTCTTTATGCAGTCAGACTATAGGTATCTGGTGACTTCTCGTGGCATAACAAGTGATTCAAATTTTGGAAATACCCACTTAATGGGGATGTTCACAAGCTAAAACAATTACATGTGGGCAAAAGATTTGTGCAAGTACCAATATAAATTGTGTATTTACTAAAGGGCAGAGCTCTGTCTCTCTTGCCACTCATGAGGTTCGGTGGTCTCTGCTTCCCCCACCCCGGGGAGGCTGATGGCGATGGGAAGGAAGGAACAAGGCCAGCTGGTCAGTATCAATTGCAGTTTATTCCAATCTCTTCTCCATTCTCCTCTGATTCTCCTGCTTCTCTCCAGATCCCCCAGCCCACTCTTGGCAGCCTCATTTATATAGAAATCCTATAGGGTGGGGATACGAAGGTGGGGTTGAACATTAACAAATCAAGAAAGAGAAGTAAGGGCATTCCTCCAGAGATTAACTCAAGGACAAAATCTCATTTAAGGAGCTTACTCCAGATTACTAGGAGATCCACTCAAGTGCGGGATTCCATTCAGGGTGTGTTGCTTTCTTCTTTCCCAGCTAATAATCCACTTAAATAGTTGTAGTAAATTTACTTCTAATATTTCTAGCAATGTTATTTTGTATGAGCACAGTAAGAGATATATCAAGCTTAAAGTTTGGTTCTTCCTGATGATATCTCACTATATATTCCAGGTTACAGTCCTCAGGCCAGGTTAGTCTCCCTAACCCCAGCAGGGTCCTTATTCAGTTACCTCTTTTGGATCATGACCATGCTCTTGACTTATAGCTGAGTAATGTGGTGCTTTGGCCTGGACCATTTTGGTGCCAGGGTAGTTCACAGCTTGCCCTGGGTCCATTCAGTCCCTTGTTGGGACCCTGCTTTTGAGGTGCTAGGAACTAAGGGCAACTGAGGCTTAAATCGAGGAAGCAGATGTCCGGGAGTGAATATTATTCAGAGTCAATTAACTCCCAAGTTACAAAAGCACAATATTAACTGTCTTTCTGTGTCCATACAAAAAGTACATTGTTTTAAGGTAAAATGCAAAAAATGGAGAGAAGCAATATATAACTTACAAGTTCAGTATACATAGAAGGATCTGACCTTACAACTTAACAGAATCTGATTAGGGGGAAAAGGTGATTAACTGGTTGGGGAGGAGAGCAAAGAGAAGAGTTTACAGATAAACAAAGGAATGAGAGCACTGTGATGGGTATAATCGATAAACCTAAGCTCCCTGTGGCAAGGGAGAAAGGACAAACCATTGTTATCCTACAATAAATAAAGCTCCTAAAAGATAGGGGCTGGCACCAGGTAGGGCACTTGCCTTGCTCATGGTTGACCCAAGTTTAGTCCCCATTATCACATACACTGCTGAATCCTCTGGCATGCAAAATATGTACCTACCCCTTTGAACTTCAGAAGGTATTCGTGGAGCCATCCCTGTGGATGAATAGGGATTGTATGCTTTCATTCTCTAAGGCCTTGGGCCTGAGTGATGACCGTATAGTAGGTAAGGCTCTTGCCTAGTACACGACTGACCCATGTTTGATCTCTGGCACGACATATGGTCACACAAGCCCCACCAGGGGAGATTCCTGAGCACAGAGCCAGAAGTAAACCCTGAATACCACTGGATGGGAACCAAAAAACAAAATAAAAAAAGATATGGTGACTTAATTTCTTTCTATAGGATCTCTTCATTTTCACAAACCTTTTACAAAAGGCTTTCTCATAAATATGACACGTTCTTTTTATACTCTTAGTTGGATTTCCTGAGTATAGAATTGTAAGCTTAACAATTTAAGATTATACCTTCATCACTTCACTTAATCACTTAATCCCCGTTATTCATCGATTTATTCGAGCGGGTGCCAGTAACGTCTCCGTTCATCCCGGTTGCGTGCTAGCGTAGCCCAATGGTATCTGTTCGTTTTAGGAACATGTAGAGCCTCAAACCGATCATTTAGGGTCTTGACGAAGAAGTCTGACCATCTTATAGGTGGGCGTCCACGTGATCTTTTGATGTCTCGTGGAATCCAATCAGTAATGGCTCTAGTCCAGCGGTTGTCTGTAAACCTCATTACATGTCCAGCCCATCTGATTTTTGATGTCTTGGCAAATGAGACAGCGTCTCTGATTCTTGAGCGTTGACGAAGATCAGAACTCCGGATTCTATCTCTCATTTGAGTGAATCGTGATATTCCAAGCATAGTTCTTTCGATTCCTCTTTGAGAGACCCGAATAGTGTTCTCATCCTGTTTTCGTAGGGTCCAGGTCTCTGAGGCATATGTTAATGCAGGAAGAATAGTGGAATCAAAGAGATGTGCTCGTAGTTGGAGGTTCTTTGTCCTTTTAGTTATTTCTTCAATGCTCTTGAAGGCATTCCAAGCCGCTCTCTTCCTCCTGCGTAACTCAGGTGCCAGGTCATTCATCATGTTGATTTCTCGACCTAAGTATATATAACTGTTGCATTCGGAGATGGTGGTTCCGTTGAGAGTGAATGGAGTGTCAGGAACAAGGCTGTTTCTCATAAACATTGTCTTCGTAAGATTCAGCTGTAGTCCAACCTTTCCACACTCACGGTCAAAGTCCGCAAGCATTTGTGCCGCTTGGCTGATGTTTGGTGTTATTAAAACGATGTCATCAGCAAAGCGGAGGTGGTGTAGTTGCCGACCATCTATCTTCACTCCCATGTTTTCCCATTCTAGTCGTCGCATGATGTTCTCGAGGGTGGCACTGAAGAGTTTTGGTGAAATGGTATCACCCTGCCGAACCCCTCTCTTGATATGGATGATTACTTCTTTGTAGAATGGTGAGATCTTGGTAGTGAATCCGCAATAGAGCTCACGAAGGATCCTGATGTATTGAGTTTGTATGCCCTGATTGGCTAGGGCTTCCATGACCGCTTCCGTCTCAACAGAATCAAAGGCCTTCTTTAAATCAATGAACGTTAGACAGAGCGGCATCTTGAACTCCCGAGATACCTCAATGAGCTTGGTTATTGTGTGGATATGGTCGATGGTACTGAATCCTTTTCGGAATCCAGCTTGTTCACATGGTTGTCCTTCATCTAGTGTTCTGCTAATCCTATTCAGGATGACTCGAGTGAATAGTTTGTAGATGACAGACAATAGGCAGATTGGGCGATAGTTGCCAATGTCGTGGATGTCTCCTTTCTTGTATAGTAGTACAGTCTTGCTGGTTTTCCATTGGGATGGAACCTTGCATTCAGACAGGTAGCGTGTGAAGAGTCGAGCTAATGTATTGATGAGTACTGATGGTAAGTTCTTCAGGTGTTCAGGTCTGATCTTGTCTGGGCCAGGTGCTTTTTGTTTCTTTACCGACGAGATGGCATGTTGGATTTCGGAAGGGAGAACATTGGGAACGACATATCCATCATGTGGTATGTGGTATGTGGGCAAGTGGATGTGGCTATTAAAGAGATCTGAGTAGAATTCATGAATAATCTTCTCCATTGCCCTTCTGGAAGATGTGATAGATCCATCATGATGTCGGAGGGCAGTCATCTTGGTTTTGTAGTTGGTGAAGGACAGGCGGGCATTACGAATGTTTTTCCCAGCTTCTGCTGCATCTACCAGTACTGCTGCTCTCCTGTTTTTGAGGTCATCCTTGATGGCTTTTCTGCACTGTTTTGCCAGTTCGGACGTTTGCTTGTGGTTGCCTGAGGCACGTGCCACGCCACGTTGGCGAATAAGTTCAAGAGTGTTCGAAGAAAGACGGTTTTTTGTGGTTATCTCTCTCTTGGCATTCCTTGCACAATCATGGAGGTGCTGAATCATTCGATCATATTCCTCATCAATGTTGTCAATGACGGCATCTTCCCATGTTGCTGCAACAGAGCCAAAGAGTTCCCAGTTGGTGGTTGTTCTGGGAGTCTTCTTCTTAAACCTTGCATTCTTTTCTCCTCGTTCTGTGAGGTAGAATTTTGCACAAAGAAGACGGTGGTCTGATCCCGTTTGGAATTTTGGGACAATAGCAACATCGGTTAGGCAAAACCGCCGATTGAATATGATGTGGTCTATTTCATTGTGGAATCGTCCATCGGGAGACTCCCATGTCCAACGTTTAGATTCAGCCTTTTGGAATTGTGAGTTACCATGGAAGGTTTTGGTTGACATGATGAACTCAGACAGTCTGTCACCTTGTTCGTTCCATTCCAGGCCATGGGTTCCGATGTGGAGTTCATCGACTGATCTTCTTGGTCCTATCTTGGCATTAAAATCACCGACAATGATCTTGTAGAAGGTGTGATCTTCTTTATAGAATTTCTCCAGCTCCATGTAGAATTTCTCAGTTTCTTTTTCACCATAACTGGATGTTGGTGCGTAGACAACAAAGATAGAAACTGCCGGTAGTGAGCCACATTTATTCAAGTGTAATCGTCCGATTCGGGTTGTTAGGCATTCAAATGAATCAATGCTTGTGACTAAGTTTGTGTTGACAAGGATACCGACACCACCGACGCCTCTTTTATCACATGTTCCAAGGAACAGTTCTTCTCCAGTGTCGAAAACAGCATGATGGGATTGATGTCTTCTCGTTTCGGTCAGACCAATGATGTCGTACCTGATCTTTCGTGCTTGTACCATAAGGTCTTCAATGGATGCAGCAGATGCCAGCGTACGAGCATTAAAAGTACAGACAATCATTTTTGTTTTTCTGCGTTTTGGCAGCCCATGTCTGCCTTGGTGTTTTATCAGCTTCTCCTTCCATATCCTTCTCGACTCTGCATAATCAGGGCTAGGGGAATGAGATCCATTTATTACTGGATTATACCTATTTCCTAAAATAAGGCCATAGGCCAAATCTGGTTTCATTTGTTTTATACTATCCACAGCTGTTACCAGACAATAATGACAAAGTTCAGTAGCTGAGGCAAAGATTGTAAGGCCTGCAGAGCCTGAAATATGTACACAGAAAATGTAAAGCAAGATAAGGTAACAGAGCCCTCTGAATCTATGATTTAGGGGAGCAGCAGGGACCAGTGCAGTTCTGTCAGTTTCAAAGAGTTGTTTTAGGAGCAAACTGAAAAAGCTAAAGGGCTACTTTGCTGCACTTTTGGTTGCCTACTTGAACTGAGAACTCCTTTCTTCTGCATTGACTCTTTCTCTGTGGGTTGTCTGACTCAAAATTAGTTAACCACTCACTTCCTTTGAATTTTATTCATCACTCGGAGCCTTTAATACTGAAAGGCATCAGTCTAGTGGTAAAACCTTTCTAAGTCTTCATTCCCTGTAAAAACTGGGGGTGGCTATCTGTTGAACAAAAGGGTCCTGAAGTATCAAGGGAATGGGGTAATTAGCTTGAAGTAGGTCTTCCAAATCCATCCTTCTGCTTTCCCTAGGAAGCGATTTTTTTTCTTGTTGTTGCTGTTGTTGTTAATCTGTTCTTAGAGAAGAAACACTGAGTTCCTTTTCCCCCCTCCATACAGGAGTCTGTATGAAGCAGCACAAGAAGTTGACTCAGGCCATCCAGAAAGCCCGGGATCATGGTGAGCATGAGAGGACTCTGGGCACTTTAATTAGGTAGAGAGATGGAAACATAGGCCTAGTCACCAGCTATACATGCTATAAATGCATACCAGGCATGCACTCACCATCTGAGAAGGTAGTGAGTTTTCCTACAAGTGTCTTTCCTTACTCCCCTATCCGTTTCCTTTCTTGGGTCTCTTACCTTGCCATTGCCGTTTTCTCTTCCTGGTCTTTTCTCTTTTATAATTCTTTCTTCCGATGCCATCCCTAAGTCCTAGGATCTTTGTGTAAATGTACTCCATGACATTTTTGTACAACTTAGAAGAAGGTTAGAGGAAGCGTAGCGGTAGTACAGCAGGTAAGGCACTTGCCTTAGCAATTGACTAACTAGGGTTTGGTCCCTGGTACCACATATGATCTCCCAGCTCCACAGGAGTAATCCCCGAGCATAGAGTCAGGAGTAAGTCCTGAATACAGCTGGGTGTGGCAGAAAAAAAAAAAGAAGGGGCTGGACCGATAGCACAGCGGGTAGGGCATTTGCCTTGCATACGGCCAACCTGGGTTTGATTCCCAGCATCCCATATGGTCCCCTGAGCACTGCCAGGAGTGATTCCTGAGTGTAGAGCCAGGAGTAACCCCCGAGCATCGCCGGGTGTGACCAAAAGAGAGAAAAAAAAAGGAATTGGGGAGATAGTACAGGGGTGAAAGTACTTACTTTCCATGCAGCCAGCTCCCAGTAACTGGCATACATGCCCCTCCCCAATCACTGCTGTGCGTGACCTACAAGCACTGGTAGGCAGATGCAGCTTCATGGACCTGCTTCAGGATGTACACCTGGCAGGGAAGAGCCTGGCCCTGTCAGCCCACACTTTCCCCACCCCCCTTGGCCTGGTGTTTTTGTGCAGAAATGTATGACCTGTGAAAATGTACTCTTCCTTCCTCCTTTTTCCACTTTTCCTTCTTTTACTTACTGTTCATCTTACTCTGAACTAGTCCCCAACCTTACCCTGTTTTTTCCCCCCTTTAAATCCTCTAGGTCTTCTCCATTACCACATTCCCCATGTTGAACCCCGGGACCTTGACTTCAGTAACTCTCATGGAGCTGTTAGTACCACTCCACCAGCACCCACCCTGGTTTCAGGTGACCCGTGGTACCCGTGGTACAGCTGGAAGCAGCCACCAGAGAAAGAGCTGTCCCGCCTTCGCCGGCAGTATCAGGGCCAGCTCCGGGAAGAGAGTGGTCCCCCTCCTGAGTCAATGCCACAGGTGCCCGTTGCATCCCCAGCTGAAGCTTCCACAACTGAGCAGGCAGGCCCTCAGAGTGCCTAGTAGGCACTATCAAGTGAGGGAAGATAACGGGCTTAGATGATGCCTACGAATTCCTTAATGAGAATCACTGAGTCCCGTTCTGTGACATATAGCATGGCTGGGCCAGAGAAAGGCAAAGATTGTTGGTGAAGTGGATAAATCCATCTGCTGTGGAGGGAGGGCAGAAGGGTAGGAGCCCCCAGACCCTGTATGTTGTAAATAGTCTAAATAAACACTTGCTCATACTTTTGCTTTTTTTTTTTTAACTCCGTTTTCACACCATAAAGCTCTGCTCATGGCATTGTGTGGGAGTGGGAACGGGTGCCACGCAGAGGAATGTTGAGAATTGAAGTGCGCAAATATCTGAAGCTGCCTGTGTTGGGCAGATATGTCAGTCACCGTAAAGGCCTCCCTGCGGCCTTCTGAGCCCACACGAAGTATTCCTACCACTGAGGGCTGAAAGCACAGGACACGAGTACTAGAAGAGTTTGCCCGAGTAAGGGGAGTGGCCGCAGGGCTGGAGCAATCGCACAGAGGGTAGAGCGTTTGCCTTGCACACGGCTGATCTGGGTTCGATTCCCTGCATCCCATATCGTCCCTTGAGCACCGCCAGGAGTAATTCCTGAGTGCAGAGAAAGGAGTAACCCCTGTGCATCGTCGGGTGTTACCCAAAAAGAGAAAAAAAAAAAAGGGAGCGGCCTCACTAAGTAACAGCTGTTGAAGTCCTTAGGGCCTGAGCAAGGATGCTGGGGGCGGGGACGTGGGCGGTCCTGCCGGGCGGGGCCTGACATTCAGGCGCAAGGAAATAAAGCGCCGCCGCGGAGTGGGGCGGAAGTGACGTTACGTGGGCGGGTCCCGCCGCGCACAATGGGCCATGGAGTTCCCGTTCGATGTGGACGCGCTGCTCCCGGACAGGATCACGGTGCTGGACCAGCACCTGCGGCCCCCAGCCCGCCGACCCGGAACCACAGCGCCATCCCGGTGACATCTTAAACCCACCCCTGGCCCTTCTCCCAATTCTTACCGAAACCTGGGCCAGGCACCACGCCCCCCTTCTCATTGCAGGCTGTTCCTTTTGATGTCTTGGCTCAGCCTTTTAGTGACCTTTGACCTTAGACCTAGTGGGGTTGCTCCGCTCTTTAGATCTATCAACTTTTGTCCCTTAACTCCACATATGACCACAACCCAAAGCGGGTGACCCACAGTAACCTCAGGGAGGAGGGAAAGGTTTGGCTCAGTTTGGGCCTAAGTGGGTGGGGTGATAAAGCGAGTGGAAGATTTCCAGGATCAATTTAAAAGATCTGGGTTGGGGTTGAGGTCCAGGTTTCCCAGAATTGGTTGCCCAAGAATCACTGTAGTCATTATCTGACCCTTTATCTCCTTTTTTTTTCCTGTAGTGTTGATCTGCAGCAGCAAATTATGACCATTGTTGACGAACTGGGCAAGGCTTCTGCCAAGGTACTGGGAGTCTCCAGATGCAGTGAAGGGTTCCGAGGCCTTTTTGGAGAGAATAAATAAGGGAGGTCTGGGTCATTTATATTTGCACAATGTTTCTCTTTATATCCCCTATAGGCCCAACATCTTCCTGCACCCATTACCAGTGCGTCGAGGATGCAGAGTAACCGCCATGTTATCTATGTGCTCAAAGACACTTCAGCAAGGCCGTGAGTATCAAGTCCTCTTCCATCTGTGCTTATGTCTTTTTCTCCCAGCCCCTCTCCCCTTTTTAGCTCTGTTTCTTTCAGGTAGTTGTTACTAGCTTGCTTATTATTTTTCCCATCCTATAGGGCTGGAAAAGGCGCCATTATTGGTTTTCTTAAAGTTGGATATAAGAAACTATTTGTCTTGGTAAGTGTCAATGGAAGCACAGTATTCAATGCCTGGTTTTTAAGATGAAAGTGTTGAAGGGAGACCATAGAGATAGACAAAAGGGCTGGAGCACATGCTTTGCATGTGAAGCTTAGATTTGAACCGCTGTCTGCCAGGACTTACTCCTGAGCACCACAGGGTGTGGTCCCAAAACAAAAAATTGTTGGGGGCCTAGGAGATAATACAGTCTTAGCAGTAGTGCAGTAGATAGAGCATTTGCTTTATACTCTGACAACCCAGGTTCAATCCCCGGTATCCCATATGGTCCCTTGAGCACCACCAGGAGTAATTCCTGAGTGCAGAGCCAGGAGTAACCTCTGAACATCGCTAGATGTGACCCAAAAAGTCAAAAAAAAAAAGAGAGATGGATAATACAGCTGTTAAGGCAGCTGACTCTGATACCACACATGGTCTCCTGAGTATTGCCAGGAGTCGCTCCAAAGCACAGACCTAAGAATAGCTTCTGAGGACCTCTAAGAAAGAATGGAGTGAAAGATAACTGAAAGGTGGAGTGCGTGCTTTGCATACAGGGACCAGATTTTGATCCAAGGCACTACAGAGTCCCCCAAGCACCAGGCAGAGTGAATCCAAAGCATAGAGCAGAGAATAGACCCTAAGCATCACCAGTGTGGCCCAGAAATAGAAATTAAAAAGTGCTGTAGGATGAGAAATTATCCTGGTCCCTAAAATTATTTGTTCTTTGTTGTTATTCGTACTTCTTAGGATGATCGTGAGGCTCACAATGAGGTGGAACCCCTTTGTATCCTGGACTTTTACATCCATGAGTCACTTCAGCGCCATGGCCATGGGCAGGAACTCTTCCAGTATATGTTGCAGGTATTATTTCTCCAGTCTGTCCTAATGGAGATCAGGGGCTGAGAGATAGTACAGGGAGAAAGACACTTGCCTTGCACGTGTCCAATCTTGGAGTTTGATCTGTGACATGACATATATTCCCCCCAAACACTTCCAGGAATGATCCTTGAACACAGAACCAGTAGTTAGCCCTGAACACAGCTGGTTGTTGCCCAAAAGCCAAAACAGAAAAGCAAAATGGGAAGCAAAGTACCCTTTGCCCTCAGTCCTTCCAAAAGCCCTGTCTTCCCCTGCTCCCATCCCAGTTGTTCCCATATTCTCTGAGTCTCTTCCCAAACTGGGTTTCTGTTGCCACATTCTCATCAAACAACCTCCAACCTTGAGTTTCCTGTTTCTGCAGAAGGAGCGAGTTGAACCACACCAACTGGCCATTGATCGACCCTCACAGAAGCTTCTGAAGTTCCTGAATAAACACTACAACCTAGAGACCACAGTCCCACAGGTCAGAGACATCAAAGGATAGTAGGTCCTCACTGAACATTACTGTTTAATTTCTTGTTGGGAACACAGAAGTAGCACTTTCTAAGTGCTCTCTATTCTCTGTAATGTAGGATTCATTTTAAGTTCTTTTGTTTTAGAGTGGGGTGATATCATCTCTCTCCTATTACTACTATTTTGGTCTCATTTGATCCTTCCTTGTGGACTATTCTGTACACCAAATAATGTGCTTGTGTCCTTGCTATAGCCAACTCCTGTGTACTTCCTTCTTTTCACACTGGCTATTATTTAGTCAGTCCACATTTATTTATTTATTTATTTATTTATTTTTGCTTTTTGGGTCACACTTGGCAATGCACAGGGGTCACTCCTGGCTCTGCACTCAGAAATTATCCCTGGCGGTGCTCAGGGGACCATATGGGATGCTGGGAATTGAACCTGGGTCGTCTGCGTGCAAGGCAAACGCCGTACCCACTGTGCTATCACTCCAGCCCCAGTCCACATCTATTAAAGGTTCCTAATTAATACATTCTGTGTCCTCAGGCAACTGTGGTCTAATATTGGGAAGGTGGTTTGTTCACAGTTATATACAATATAATATTAGTTACTAATGCTTTCCACTTGTTCAAATATCTGTTGAGCACCCAGTACTGTTTGGGATTCTAGGGATATTTAACAAGATAGATAAAGGATTCTGCCCTAATGGAGCTTATATTCTAATTGGAGAGACAAACATAATCAGACACGGGGCTAGAGCGATAGTACAGGGAGTTAATTGTTGGCCTGGGGTTTGATCCCCACCACCCTTTCTGGTCCCCCAAGCCTGCCAGGAGTAAGCTCCGAGCACAATCAGGTGTGACCCTAAAAACCAATAAATAAATAAGCAGGCATATGCGATATAGTTGATAATAGGATTCTGAAAACAAAGCAAGCAGAAGGGTTTGGAAGGAAGTCGTGCTCTCAGTGCAGGGCGTAGGAATGTGTGGGGCATTGAGTTTAAATTTGGATGAGAAGGCCGCATGGAGAATAATGTCACTTGAGCAAAACAAAGGAGATGAGGATGAGATCTTGAGTATTGCTGGAGGAGAGAGTTTCCTAGACAGAGGAATAGCTCATGCAAAGATCATGAGCTGGGATGGTGCCTAGAAGAGAAAATTGATTTGGCTAGAACTGCATGAGTGATGAGGGAATAGGGGAGGAAATCAGAGTGCTAATCAGGGTGGAAGGACATTTCTGGTCTTCCAGGCAATTGCAGACTGTAGCTTTTACTTAAATGAGACAAAGGAGATGTAGCTCCACTCAAGCACTTAACCTTGCATGTGAGAGGCCTGGGCGTCAATTCCTGGTACTTTGTTAGTCTGTGGTATTGGATTAACTGAGATAGTGGATGGCACAGCTTTGGGAGGAAATAATCCATTTTGGTTTTGTTAACTGGAGAGCTGTCTGAAGTCAGTGTTAAACAGATACAGCTGCATTTTCTGGAGAACAGAGAAAAGGTTTCGGATGGGGAATCCGTAGGAGACAAAGTATTGAGACAGGGAGACAGTATTAGCTCACCAAGGGATGACTCAATACAGAAGTGGTCCAAGGACTCTGGCAGTTTTTGTTTTGGGATCACACCAGCATTGCACAGGGTTTACTGCCTCTGTGCTTAGGGATCTCTCCTGGCAGTGCTCGGGATATGGTGCCAGATTCTAGCTGGGGTAGACAAGTGCCTTAACCTCTCCTCTATACTAGCTCACTGACCCCCCTCATGTCTAGGAGATGGGGCTGGAGAGATAGTACCACTGGTAGCGTGCTTGTCTTGCATGCAGCTGACCCAGTTTTGATCCTTGGCATCCCATATGGTCCCCAAGCTCTGCCAGGAGTCCTGAGTGCAGAGCCAAGAGTAACTCCTGAGCATCACTAGGTGTGACCCAGAGACCCCCCCCAAAACAATAAAAAAAAAAGTGTAGGAGGTGAACAGTACAGATAGCTCTGCGAGGCACATGCTTTGTATTGCAGGTCACATGGGGCACCACATGGGCCCGCCAGGAGCAACTCCTGAGCACAGTGCCGGGGTGTAGCTTCTGAGCACCCTGAATATGGCACCAAAACAAAACATGAAATAGAAGTCAATGAAGTTGGCTAGGGTCATAGCTCAGAGGTTAGTGCACATTGCACGGGGAGTTCAGGGAGCAGAGCATTTACTGCAAGCATCCCCTGAGCACTGCCAGGTATGGTCCCCCAAAAAGAAGTCCAGGAAAGAGAAATTGGCGAGGAGTGACTGGCCTGAAAGCACTATGAAGAAGTGTTTTATTTTTTTGTTTGTTTGTTTTTGCTTTTTGAATCACACCCGGCAATGCACAGGGGTTACTCCTGGCTCTGCACTCAGAAACTACTCCTGGCGGTGCTCAAGAGACCATATGGGATGCTGGGAATTTCGAACCCGGGTCGGCCGCGTGCAAGGCACCGCGTGCAAACACCCTACCCGCTGTGCTGTCACTCCAGCCCTGAGAAAGTGTTCTAGAAGGAAAAAATAGCTTCCTAGTTAGAAGTTGCTGATCAGGGAGGTAAGATGACCACTGAGAAGTAACCTTTATATAGACCCACCAGGGGCCACTGGGGATATTTAGGACTGTTTTGGTGCATTGATGCCAGGAAGCCTAGGAAGGGGAAGCTGAGTTTAGGAGATTGAGAAGCTAGGAACTAGTGTTAGCAAGAATAGGAGGTGCTCTCTACTGGGCCGTGCCAGTGCCTGACCCAGGTGCAGTTCCTTAATACCCCATGTCGTCCTCTGAATTCTACCAGAAATGATGGCTGAGTGTAGAGCAAGGAGCAAGCCCTAAGCACCACTGGGTGTGACTCCTCCTCCCCCCCAAAAAAAAAAATTAGACCATATGCGTAGACGGGGATCTCCCAAGCTGTGCTCAGGGGATTAACAGACCCTGATACTCAGCCCCATGCTGCTCTGCACAGGTCCAGCAGCACTTGGGACTGCCAGGAACTCTGTTGTTGGTCAGGGGACATGTAGTGCCAGGCACTGAGCTCGGGACCTCCATATGCCAGGCATACACTCCAGGATGCCCCTGGCCTCAATAGGCTCTTTCAGTGCTCTTATTTATTTAAATTGGAAGGAACTTTGACTATATCTAGCTTGGTGCTCGGAGGTCACTTTGTACCATGCTTGGGCTCCTTGAAAACCTCTTGCTGCCATGTTTAAATCCTGGTACCCCCATGATTTTCTGAGCACTACTGGGAAGTGATTTTTTTTTTACTTTTTTTTTTTAATTGAATCACCGTGAGATAGTTAAAAAGCTTTCATGATTGAGTCTCAGTCATAAAATGATCAAACAGCCCATCCCTCCACCAGTGTACATACTTCACCACCAGTGTCCCCAGTATCCCTCCTGCCACTCCCCTCACCACCTGCCTCCCCCTCCCACCCGATCCCCTCCCCCTATAGCAGACAGCTTCCTTCTTACTTTCTACTTTGGGGCATTATGGTTTGCAATACAGATACTGAGAGGCCATGATGTTTATTTTTTTTATCTACTTTCAGTACCCATCTCCCATCCCGAGCGATTCCCCCTAATCATCATTGACTTAGTGATCCCTTCTTTATCCCAGCTGCCTTGGAAAGTGATTCTTGAGCACCCAGCCAGATGTAGCTCTACCTCCCAGCCCCAATAAAAATAAATTTAAAAAATTCCGGGCCAGAATTGATAGTACACTGGGTGGGGCACCTGGATTGAACCCCTGACACCAGGCACCACATATGATTCCTCGAGCCCCACCAGAAGTGATCTTTGATTGCAAAGCTAGGAGTAAGCCTGGAGTACCACCTGGTGTGACTCAAAAAAATAAATAAATAAAAACAAAGACTGGGTAAAGAAAAAACTTGATGTCAGAGAATGTGGAGGATCTATTGAAGTGATGTTAAGTGGGCAGGAAGAGGTGGGATTTAGTTGACAGGTTAGCCTTGATAGGAACACAGTTCATTGTATCATGACTTAAACAGACTTCAGTAAGCACTTCTGGGGTAGAGATTGGATGAAAGGACAATGGGGGTTCGATTTCTGGCATCCTGTGTGTCCCAGGAGCACAGCCAGGAGTGATTCCTGAGTGCAGAGCCAAGAGTAAAGCCCTGAGCAACACCAGGTAAATCCAGGTAAATAAATAATGAAATGCTTTTCCTGGGGCTGGAGACACAGTTCAAGGATTAAGGCACTTGCCTTGCTCACAGCCTACCCAGGTTCCCCAGAACCAGCTGGAGCAGTCACTGAGCACAAGCCAGGAGTTAGCCCTGAGCATCACCAGGTGTGCCCCGCCCCCCCAAACAAAAACAAACCAAAAATAAATAGTAAAATGTTTTTCAATATTTTTTGATGATTTTTGGGGGGCCTGGAGTAAGAGTACAGTGGGTAGAGCTTGCCTTACAGCTGACTCGGGTTTGATCCCCTGAACCCCATATGGTCCCCCAAGTTCCCCCACCAGAAGTGATCCCTTTGCACAGAGCCAGGAGTTAGCCCAGAGCACAGCAGGGTGTGGCCCAACAAACAAATGTTTTTCTTTTAAGAGAACCAGCATGAACAAAGGCCAGAATCTAGTATTCAACCTCCCTTCAGGGTAAGCATGGCTGCAGGGGTCATGTGCTGGGCGGGTGAGAGCAGGTTCTCCTTCCACTGCCCTCCACATCATATTTTAGGCTGATGCAGCATTCTGGGAGTATGTGCAGTAGAGGGAGTGCTGTTCTGCTTGCCCCTGAACACTGATTTGAACTGCAAGGTCATCTTACACTCTATTGTCTGACACAGAAGGAATTGGGTGTGGCAGGGTTGGGGTAGGTGAGGAGAGTATAATTTCTGTGCCTCTAACACTCAAGTTATTTGGAGGCCAACTCTATTTGGCATCAAACACAATATCATGCAGTATAAGGTCACTGCAGTAAGGATTACTGGCATTGGGTCTCCCTTCATCATTGCAGGCTTTGAGATTGTGCTGTGACCTGAGCAAGTTACATAG